TCCTGGTTTTCACCCAGGCGGCCCGGGTTCGACTCCCGGTATGGGAAAAGCATATTTTTTTAAAAAAATTTAAAAATGGATTTCTTTCTATTTAAAACCGTTAAAATCCACTGAAATTTCAAACTTACTTGATTACAAAGAGCAGGGTATCAGGTTCTAAAGGTTCTTTCAGTGTAAGCAATATTCTTAAAAGAGGACAAACAGAATTGATGCATCAACTGGACAAAAGGAATATGGAGGTGATTTGTATAAGTTTCCGAGAAATATTCAGATCATTGATTTCTTTAGAGGCTTCATAAAATGCGTCTGTTGTCATTTATAAGATCTGAAGCCGGACGCTCCCTTTCTTCATTTTAAAAACAGCATGAAAGTTCATATTTTTTGCAAAAATTCCCACCAATGCTTTTTCATGAATTAAGGAAGAAACATGATGGAGATGAATGGAACATGAGAAGAATTTTGTTATAAAACCCCAACTTTCCCATACCGGGAGTCGAACCCGGGCCGCCTGGGTGAAAACCAGGAATCCTAACCGCTAGACCATATGGGAGAGTATGTAAAACTTAGCTCAACCATCAGAAGTTCAATCTGATGTTCCAGGTTAAATTCTGTCACTACCAGATTCGCAAGAATTAATTAATGTAACATGATAAATAGGCAATTTATCCCGGAAAGTAGAGAGACTCCAATTCACTTTGGGGCTTGTCAAATTCACGTTATCGGCTCTCAAGTTTGACGAGGTTCGCCTTGAACGAAGGCCTCTTTGGACGAACCCTGCGTGCAAACCGTCCCATGCTTTCGATCCCTTTTCTTCAGCAAGGGAGTTTCGGACTCGGGAGAAGGGCAGCAGGCTGGGCCTTCTCTTGGGCCGGTGCTAACCGGACAGAGGAAGCCCCTTCCCGCTTTGCTGAAAGCCGGGAAAAAGTGACTCCAGGCTCTAGAAGAGATACCGGTCCCAACTTGGTCGCTTCTAATAACTTTAAGCCGGTGCTTTAAGGATGCGAACCCAGGTGTGGATCTAGATGCAATTTCCCTCCACCGTTGCCGAATCTCTTGTCGAATCTCTGAAAACTAGGGGATTTTGCATTATTTTGCATTATTATTAATTTATTTGCAAGACAGATTTTAAGCTCACATTGCCACTTTAGAGGCAACTTGACATAAGAACAGGCACGCGAACTGTTAAAAATGTGGCCGCTGCGATGTTCTTTGTGCCACGCCGAGCTATAGGTTGCCTTTCTTAAAGGCCCCCATTCCTGCTCGCAACCTCACCAAGATCAAGGGTTTCCTCCTTGTCTGCTCCCCACCCTGCTTCCGCATAGCGGTACTTTTGGAAAGCAACTCTAAAGGCGTAGCGACCCCTACTGACAGGCCAGGGAAGTGCGCCTTTAAAGGTCCCAGTAAGGTCAAGTCTGGTCCCAGATGCCCGTCCATTTTTTTACTTGCAAAATAAATAAATAAATAAATAAAAAATCCGATTCTTTTTATGTCTTATCTACACACATACACGAGAGTTAGAAGAAGCCGAACTGCATATTGTGGTCTCTCTCTAAACATCTCTGTTAGCAACAAGCTTTTTCTAAAGTTCGCTTCTTTTAGAGTCCCGAGGGACGAAACTGTCTTCCCATTAGCTCTCGATCCAATAACAAAAGGCAGAAGGGTTGCTCTAGTTGTTTTGCTAATGCTCATGTATCCACAGTGAACGATTTCTAGAAAACTTTAAGAAAAGCTGTTCTTCCCATACCGGGAGTCGAACCCGGGCCGCCTGGGTGAAAACCA